TTAAAATTAGAATTTGAAGTTAGAAATTGGTAGACGTACACCAAACAGTTGCCCACCAACCCGGGGAGCCCTTTTGGGGGCAATCAACTGTCTGGTAGTGTTCCAAACCCCTTTTTTTCCTTTTAATCTCTCTTTAAACTTCCTAAAATTTCACTTAAATTCACGTTTACCCCCGCCTTAATCTTCCCCAACAAAAAATAGAAAGCTGTCACATTTAAATATAAGGCCTGGGGTAGGAGCTCATCACTAGGAGCGTACAATTACCCCATATTCCTGTCACCGTGTTTTCACAGACCGATAATAATAATAATAATTATGAATTTGTTGTTTAGACCGATCTATTTTCAGTTTGAATTTACCACGCATTCAGACCCCCGTAGGAACCTCAGTGACCAATCACAAGGAGGGACTTAATTTTTGACTCAGTGACGTCATCATTTCACCAGAAGATTAATAAAAAAAAAAACAATTTCGTTACTTACCGATGCGCGCTCGTGTAGACCGGAACTGACCTATTTCATGGGAAAAGAAGTCTAAACTACGTTGGCAGCGTTTATCGTATGCGGTCCTTTGTAGTTTCTGGTTTCTCTAAAAATAGACTGGTCTAAAAAACAATGCCATGACACAGGCTTAGTATGGGAGTTGTATGCTCTCAGTGAGGGGCTCGTGTTGGGGTGTATAGACGGGAGTAGTCTTACCTTCTTCTGAATAAGGAAAAGTTAAAATATTCTCTAACCTGAGTGAAAGTGTCAGTGTCAGCATTGAGCCTTGGGTCTGAGTAGCTGTAGTTTTTGGCCTGGCTGTACCATAAGTTTGTGGCGATTTCTCCCGCGTCCTCACATGCCATGGAACCTTCATTACATGAAAATAACATAGTAACTATTAGTAATTATTATACATTGAACTCACTATCTCTTTTCTGATTGGCCGAAAGCGTACAGTGAATTTTCGAAATCATTTTTTTGCCAGATTATGTGCCTGGACTGTTTCTCAGTCCATAGAGGCAGGCAGACAAAGAACTTCGTCAACATTCAGCCATCTTGACAGAACAAGTTTGGTCAAAATATTAATAACCCATTTATCTCTGCTCTAATTGTCCAATAATTAAATTGCGCTCAAATGAGCTTATTGAGAAGCGTTTTGCGAAAAAGGCTATAATCGTCAAGTACCCTTAGGTAGAATGTTTGTAATGAATACCACATTTTCTATCCACCAATTGAAACCCTGAAGACTTATGAAACAAAAAAACACTGAATGCTGAAGAGAACGTACCTTGTGCTTTGTCGCTAAGACCAACATGACACGGAACTGAGAGAAAAACAAACACAACAGAAAGACAAGGATCAAGCGATCAGATTTAAAATGAATACACAAGTTACTTGGTGTTTCCCAAACAGTTGTTGGTTTTTGCTTTGCGTTGTGTTGGTATAGCTATTTTTTATTTTATTTGGAGTCTTTTATTTTACGGTGTTGATAATCGAAGCATTAAGAGTACATTGATTACCCAGGAGCTGTTCTACCAAGTGACTGGCGAATTGATTAACCACGGAAATTAAAGACCGCGTCTGCTCTAAGGCAAAACCCTGATTAAAACGTTTTCCGGATAACGAAAGAAATAACAAAAACAAACAACAATAACAACAACGACAACAAACAAACGAGGGAAATCCCTGGCGTTTTCTTTCCTTCCGTCCTGATTAAACTGCTTTAAGGTAATAAAGTATTTAGAATACAAGCCGTGGTTCTGTTTTTCACAAGACAGTTTTAACGACACAAGTAAAAAATGAAATTTTCTATGATTTTTAAAACTTACGCTATGACCTGTATATTTATATATTCTCAGCTTTTATTACTTACTCCAGAATAACACGAGAAATATAAGAGTATCAACCCAGCTTTCCCTGAACATTTCCGTCTTGGCTTGAGAAGGACAATCTGAAAGAGAACATCAAATCGCATCATGATTGGTACACATCATGAATAACCATGCATGTAACACCGAAGAGAACGCACATTACTTAAAGAGAACACTTTTTCATATTTCTTGTACACAAAGAAGGTTTTGGTCGTTTTGGTCGCTTAGTTTCCGTCGGCGGGTTCCTAAGCAAGTGAACCGAGTCACTTGTTAATTAGGACTAAGGCTGAGCCGGTAAGTGAGAAAACTTGACGCTCACATGTCAACATACAAA